GACATTCAATGTGAGGTATACCAAAAGCATGCACCACTTACTAACAGAGGACTGTTCAATATTATCGCATTCCCCATAAAATGAGAGCGAGTTTGAATCTATTTAAAGAGCGACTCAGACGTTCCATATGAGAAATTCTGCCTAGGCGCAGCTGATGTCCAGTGCGCATAATGCTACATCAATTTCTCATCTACAGCAGTCACACCCCAAGAATCCTAATTCTAGTACCGTGTACATTTTTCCCATATTGGCAACCGGAGAGACCCTAAGGACGACATCAAAAGAACCTTAATACTTCAATCCAATTTGTAGGCAATCAAGCCTCCTATTCGATCTAAAACAGTGCGATGCATTTATTGACTTACTCTAATACCCACAGATTTTCGTGACTATTTTCAAGTATATGCACTACTTAATCCAAACGTTTTGCGCCAAGGTTTCCAATCGGCGACAAAAAAAGACTGACGCGAACGTCTTTCAGAAAAAGAGTGCCGCGGAATTTGGAAGTCCAGAGCTATTGATTCAGTGCGCACAGTTGACCTAGTACATCGCGCAGTGGAAGAATAACACAAATAGATGGAAACTTAACAACTTTTAAGGCCCTGTAGTTCCTTAATCACTTGATACTTGTAATGAAACGCACCAAGCATGTCCTGGTCGGTGTTCTTAAGACATCCAACGCAGCCCTGGCTTATTTCTTGCCAAATATTTGGTCGGTGGTCCACTTTTCAATTTAGTCCTTCGGCGACTACTGAATTTTAATGGAACTGCTGAAAAATACCGACCTTCGAGGTAAGTGTGACTTCTATCGATTAGTTAGCTGATTGTGGCAAAACTTTCACGCCGTAAAATATGGAAGTCTTGAACTGCGAAGCGGTAAAGCACTCCAAAGTCAGTGGCAAATATCCTAGGCTGTGATAAAAACGAACAGGGGCCACCAACGGAAACATGATTTGTCGACTATAAATTCCCCAGCCCACGGAATTATTATATTAGAAACTGAGGATATGGGGCGGAAGAAGGATGGAGGGAAATAAGTGTTTTGGTAACTTTAAGGTCACCAAACAAATCAACTGTGTGTGTAAACATTAAAAATCAGTGTAGCCGAAGGCAGGGACGCGCAAAATCGCTAGAGATTATTAGGACAAATGCGTGCACGTAAAAAGGAGAAAAAAAGAGAGAAAGGTATGAAAAGTATAGGTGGAAAAAAACGAAAAAAAGTTAAATGCACAAAAAAGAACGAGTGGAGCAAAAGACAAACAAGCGCGCCCAGGTGTGACACGGACACTCGGGATTAAAAGGCTAAGAAACCGTAATTGTCTTCGGCTCCGGTGCGTCGGTTACGGCAGGAGCAGCAGCAGCGGTCGTTGTGATTGACGTTGCAGGCTTCTTATCTGCCTCCTTCGCCTCACTACTGCTGCTGACGCCAGCCCTCTTTTCATGCTCCTCGTCTGCCTCCTCATCATCCTCGGGTTCCCCTCTACTGCCGCTGCTGTCCCCATTCGTCTTCGCTGTAGATTTAGCATTATCAATCTTGCTTGCTAAGTCTGAGAGGATGTCGCGAAAACGTGTCCAGTGATGCTCCGGTATCGTGACAGCAGTTCGGTAGTTGGCTCGCAGTTCGGAGATACGTAGGAACACACCATATCTGTTTGACCCAACATCAAAATAGAAGGTTTTGTTGCCTGCGAAGAGCACTTTCGCCTCGGGAAGGTCCTGGGTGGCAGCTAGAGAGAAAATAAGAGGGTGCGGTCAGCTTCAAGGAAGGGTTTGATCAAATGGAAACTGTACTAAAAACATAGGAGCACAGTGCTTTTTACATACATAGCCATGATTCAATAATTAAACTGCTTAACTGACCAAATGAACGATATTAGCTGGAAACGGCCAAATAACGTACTTTGCATAGTGTAGGGTTTTGAGAGATTTCCTTGACCTTTCTTCTAATAGGTCACGAGCGGAATATGACTAACATAGCAAATATCAAGAAATTGTAGTCGCTTTCATGGGCCCGGTCATAACAAAGACCTAGCTGTCCATAGTGGTCTTGGTTCTACAAAGTTGGGCAAAGCACAATGACCAAATCCAGACAACAGATTTGACTGGCGGACGAGAGCAGTTGAGGGTACCTGTCAGCTCTCTAATTCGTGTGAATCTGCACATAGCGCATTTAGGTTAGAGAGACGAGAGGACTGGAAATTTGTTGACTCGGTGGCCATCTCTGGACGTCCTGACCTACTCTTGCTACTGTATCGCGCAGAGCTAGTGAGAAAATAAAACCGGAGCTGCACCATTAGCCAAAATTACGCGCAAATCAGCATTGTCTACCGGAATCCCTAGTGGTTATCACATTGAACGGGCAGGCTGCTGGTCGGTAATGAGCATAATATTACAAAATGCGGGGAGGGGGTCAGGATTGATTTTTTTCTGTTAGTGTATCTAGCAATTTACTCGTTAATTTTTGCATTTATCTTTTTAAATATGATAAATTGCATGTTGCCTCGTACTAAAGCCTTCAAAATGTGAAAGGATATAAAAGAAAAGTCACGGTCGGGAAGATTTTAAATATTTAAACGGTAACGCGATTTATGGACCACCCTGTAATTGAATGGAGGGGCATTCGAAGACTAGAATGACAACATAGTAACAATGAGAAGATGATGTATGAAATTGTATGATGTCATTAAATCGTACTGGATAAGGTCTAGTGTTGATATACTTACATACTTGGGAAGTTGTGCTCTATCTCTGTGTAAGTGGTAATTTCACCCGTCAAGCTCATTAGTTAGCGATCGAGGATTACGGTACGATAAACGATACTCAAGGCACCCAAAAAATCTGAAGTACATCATAAGCAAACGGCTCTTGGTTTTGATCCAGAAAATGACATCGGTGATAGCCGAAAAATTTTGAAATGTTTAAACAGATGACTGATGACAGAGGACTTACCCAAATCCTCTGCACGGCAGTAATTCTGAATTAAATCCGCAAGAGCGTTGCGCAGTTCAACTAGACCGTCAGCCGGTAGCCCGATGTGCACTCGGGCGCCCATTGAAAGCATGGAGATGCGCAGGAACCGGCCACGCTCATTCTCCCGCAAATCAAGGTAGTAACGTCGATTGTCACGCACGATGGTCTCAGACTCGATGAGGCCGTCTGTCGCCAACGACTTCGGATTGTGTGGCGACAATTTTTCGTAAGCTGCGCTTAACTTTTCAATTTTTTCCCTCAGTTCGTTGGCAGCCGGCACAGACATGAGTATGCGAGATTTTTGGCCCCCAACACCCACTTCTGTTAGTTTTATAAAGCGACCACGAGGATTCTGCTTCACATCTAAGTAGAAGCGCTTATTCTGGATCTGGATTGTGCGTGAGGCGAGTTCTTGCTCCTCGATTTGTGGTCCCCGTCTCCGTTCATTGTGATTTGCAGACATCTTCACACTTGTCTTTCGCTTGAATTCCAAACTATAGCCAGCTCAGCTTGCGCACTATGAAGAGATGAGAATTGTGTTTCAGGAGATATGGCAGTGAAAGAAGCAGAATAAATAGGCCCTACAAGACACTTCCTACTCAGGAAGCGTCTGAGCAATGTCGGGTCTTCCTGGAAAAATGTTCCAATTGTATTATCAAATAATTTATTATGATTATTGTGTAGTCTGTTCGACTTATTTTTCAGCTAAAAGGGAACCCTTGGCAAGTCACCTCACTAATCAGACACTGCTTTTGGTCGGTAGCTAAAACATTTCAGCGACGACAGGTACAGGCTGTATTTCCTAATTCTAGCTAACTTTCTGCAACCAAAACCAACTTAACTTGCAGTTAATGGCTCAATGGTTACAGCTAAGGGATGTGACTTGTCCTTTAAACTCGTGTGCTGAATGCAATTGACGCAATAATATGGACTATGTTTGTTCTTGTTCAGCCGTAAACTAATATTTACTCCAATTTCGGTTTAATTATTCTACGGAATGCGAGTAAAAAACATACCGTGGCGTGAAAATTCGCATTTGGGACAGGCTGCTAGCATTAAGTTATTTTGATTGCAATAATGGTAACACGGAGTATAGGGTGTACATTGACAGTGTTAGTTCGACCATCGCAAACGAAGATTTCCACCATTTGCCCGAGAGCAGGGACGGTGACTGTGGTCAAGTATAGTGAAAGTAGACGCGCCGCCATCTATCCCCACTCTAAACCCTCTCAACTGCGTCAAACGGTGACAAGAAAAAGTCGAGATGACTGAGCAGGGAGAAGGCGTTGGCCGCAGCCAGAAACACCGCCTAATTTATTATTAAGTGACAGTAGACTTTGCGCGGGTACTACTACACTGTATACCCTTACTCACCAATAGTAGGTGTCTAGCCAAACTTCAGTCAGCCAGGACTGGTACTGCTACTACTACTTCTGCTATTTTTAATACTACTAACTAGGGGAATAGCTGGGTGATAGTGTTTGCCGGTACTCTTACTGACTGCTTTGTAGGTCAGTCAGCACTGGTTACATATCCCTCTAATCTCTACAAGAAGTGTAGCAGTACTAATGCTAGCACTGACAATGACTAAGCCAAAGCTGGGGCTCATATTCCCTTCGTTTCAACAAGGAATGTGAATCTGGGTTTAACTATTTTGGGTAAGTACCTGCTTGGGGTCCTGAGAAAAAGTGCGTTTGCTTGGTTTCCGTACTCTCAACTCGATCCATCGAGATGTACGGACTAAGATGATGCTGATATAGCTACGTGAATATGCTAGAACTGCTAATTCTATAGTATAGTATACTTAGTATAATATAAGTACTGCCTGTACGCTTTTTAAGGAGTCGCACCCAGTATGCACTCCCAATCTGAGTGAGGTAATAGTGGTTAGCATTTGGATAATAATAGAACGTTTGCAGAGTAGTGCACAAGTCCTACTATGCCATTTTGTCGAGCATTTTGCCGTCTATAAACTACATTTAGGCCTAATAGTGTATATCTGTAGTAGTACGACAATACAATATCAGATAGGTATAGTAGGACAATCAAAGTCAGTGTAACACAAATAGGGCAATTTTAGTGATGATGGTAGTATTAATGATAATGGTGATATTAGCACATCAGGGCTCTCCTTGCTTTCTGCCCTCTCAACTCTATCCACCAGGTTGTGTCATCTTACTGGTTGACTAAATGTTATTAATAGCTCAATTTTTACCATGTCTTCATGTTGCATGGTGCCATTTACCGTTAACAGGCTAACCTTTTGCAGTATCTAAACTCCATCTATAGGTTTCAGGAGAAATCTTCTGTGTAAGATGGGAGCAATCTGCTCCAAAATCAACTTATAGTGCTACAGGCTATAACTGTGTCAGTAGTATATAGTGTATACACATGGCGTACTTAGACTACTGATAAAGAAGCTAGATGATATGGAGAACTTCAAACACAGGACTTAGTCGCTATACGGCACGGGTTACACTGGTTGTGGGCGTGATGTGGCAAGAGCAACTTGGCATAACCTGACAATATATGCAAAGGAACCGAAGGCGCACGG